ACATTGGAAACTACTTGTCTTTAATAACACCTAAAGTACAGACATTGGAAACTACTTGTCTTTAATAATGCCTAAAGTACAGACATTGGAAACTACTTGTCTTTAATAACACCTAAAGTACAGATATTGGAAACTACTTGCCTTTAATAACACCTAAAGTACAGACACTGGAAACTACATGTCTTTGTTTAATTTGTTGAAATGTATATTTCATGTTTAGGAGCACGACCAGAACGGTTACCACATTTTGATGAAGAATGCTGGAATCTTATGAAAGAATGTTGGGCTACTGACCCTTCAATCCGCCCTCTACTGGGTAACGTGGAAGCACGATTGGTGGCTATCATGGAACGTTGTTGCTCGGTTTCAACAGCAAGTGGATGTCAAGATAGTCGCAGGCGGTCACATTCGTACAGACGTAGGCACACGATTCGTAATTATCACTCCAAGAACCAAAAGCCACCCGTCGGCACTCAGCACGTTATCTTGGCCACCTAGTGGCCGGTCCGCATCATTATATCGTTTGGCAAGATACGACGTGGCATAGTTTGTGGATGTCCGCCTGAATAAGACAAGGGTGGTTGGAACCTACCCAAGTTGTTGACATTGCCTCAAGCTGGATCAACCTTTGAGAGGTGGGGCTCTGTTGTTGGGGTCAATTCTTTTTCTTAAAATAATCAACACAAGATTGTGTTGGGTACATGTGTTAATTTTTGTTTTCAGAAACATTTTCTACGAAGAATAAGATTGAAATATTATAATAGTAGCTTATTTTATGTAACAAATACGCTGATAAAATACAATTTCAAGCTGTAACATTGTGTGGGAAAATTAACGGATCGGTTTTTATTGAAGTAGTTTAAGTGTGTATTTAAGAGGAAACAAAAAAAAAATTGATTTATTTTTCCAGTGGCACAGAATTCTTTATGGATTTTTTTTTTATTTTCTTAGATCAGACAGAAGAAATTATGTGTGCATGTAATATTATAGTTGCTGTGCACTGCTACAGTTAGTTTATTTAACTTGGTAAATATTTATAGCAGTAGAAACTGACATCTTTAGTGATTGGAATGTTTTCTATTTGTTACATGCAGTACAGAAATGTTGGGTTGGATCTAAAAAATATTACTATTGTTAAGTGGTGTTTTATGTCATGAGTTTAAGTCTTTTTAAACAAAAGTTTAATACTATCCTACAGAGTAATTTTTTTTTCAATTTCTTGTCACGTTTATTAAAAGAATGATGACACTTCAATGTTATACTGAAACTGTCTACATCATGGTTTATTTGTACAGATTACTATATGATGATCTGTTTCAGTAACACAGAAGTCCTGTAAGTCAAAGGTTAAAGTGTGTGATATATTGTTTCAAGTGACCTGAAGAATTTTTCTACCAGTCTGTGAAATTAGATGTATTGGTATTTCATGTTTGGTTGAGAGGTTTAGAAACTGTAAAACTGTAGATGTATATATTGATTTGTCAGTCATGATACTTGATTATTTCTGTATGTTTAAACTGAAATTATACAGAAGTTTCAAACCATTGTTTTACACAGCATGATAAATGTTTAAATGTTGTGTTAGTATCAAGTTTCGTAAAAGAAGGACCAGTTTATTACTTGTATTTTGAAATGTAGCATGACCAGTGATATGAACTTCCTGTTATTAGATCTGACAGCTAATTTTATATATGTTTTTACTTTTAGTTTAGGTTAACAGATTTTCACTACAATATGAATTATAAATATCATGCTAAATGATTTATAAGGTTCAAAATATCGTCCAGTTCGTTCCTTGCAGTGGGTTGGATTGGAGATGTTATTTAACACTAAAACCAGTATATAGTTGAGAAAGTAAAGTCACAAAACTTCATTTCATTAAGATAACTTGTGGGCCCTTTTTTTATACTAGACGAAAAAGAAAATTTACACATTTCTAAAGTGTGTTTTTTTTTCTTTTTCCAAATAAAAGAATTCTGTAATCTATTTCCAATTCTTTAAGCCTTAATTAATTGATTCACTCTAGATATACGTCTTTTATTGTACATCAAATATTATGAATACTGATATTAACTTGTACATCCAAATCATTAAACAGGGAGATGTCCAGTGCATGCTTTTTATCTGACTAAGAGTATCGTGTGAGTTTTACCATCAAATAATTCCTGTAAATTATATCAGATAAAATGGAAATAATAAGAGTAACTGATTAACTTTCTGTTAATTACATCAATTATCAGAGTAACTAATAACTTTGTTAATTACATCAATTATCAGTGTAACTGACTAATAACTTTCTGTTAATTACATCAATTATCAGAGTAACTAATAACTTTGTTAATTACATCAATTATCAGTGTAACTGACTAATAACTTTCTGTTAATTACATCAATTATCAGAGTAACTAATAACTTTGTTAATTACATCAATTATCAGTGTAACTGACTAATAACTTTGTGTTAATTACATCAATTATCAGTGTAACTAATAACTTTCTGTTAATTACATCAATTATCAGTGTAACTTACTAATAACTTTGTGTTAATTACATCAATTATCAGAGTAACTAACTAATAACTTTGTTAATTACATCAATTATCAGTGTAACTAATAACTTTCTGTTAATTACATCAATTATCAGTGTAACTGACTAATAACTCTGTTAATTACATCAATTACCAGTGTAACTTACTAATAACTCACACGTGGTGTGTGATGGGTAAAACTACCTATCAAGAAAACATAAAATAAAATAAATTCTATCAGATAGATTTCTGATATACTGGCTGTACTAGAGACTTGTAGAAACATTTTTATATTAATGTCACACAACAGGTTTTCTAATATACTGGCTGTACTAGAGACCTGTTGTGACATTAATATAAAAATGTTTCTACAAGTTTTCTGATATACTGGCTGTACTAGAGACTTGTACAAACATTTTTATATTAAAGTCACACAACAGGTTTCTGATATACTGGCTGTACTAGAGACTTGTACAAACATTTTTATATTAATGTCACACAACAGGTTTTCTGTTATACTGGCTGTACTAGAGACTTGTAGAAACATTTTTATATTAAAGTCACATCAGGTTTTCTTATATACTGGCTGTACTAGAGACTTGTACAAACATTTTTATATTAAAGTCACACAACAGATTTTTGATATACTGGCTGTACTAGAGACTTGTACAAACATTTTTATATTAATGTCACACAACAGGTTTTTGATATACTGGCTGTACTAGAGACTTGTAGAAACATTTTTATATTAATGTCACACAACAGGTTTCTGATATATTGGCTGTACTAGAGACTTGTACAAACATTTTTATATTAATGTCACACAACAGGTTTTTGATATACTGGCTGTACTAGAGACTTGTAGAAACATTTTTATATTAATGTCACACAACAGGTTTTCTGATATACTGGCTGTACTAGAGACTTGTACAAACATTTTTATATTAATGTCACACAACAGGTTTCTGATATACTGGCTGTACTAGAGACTTGTAGAAACATTTTTATATTAATGTCACAACAGGTTTTCTGATATACTGGCTGTACTAGAGACTTGTAGAAACATTTTTATATTAATGTCACACAACAGGTTTTCTGATATACTGGCTGTACTAGA